GTGCCCCCTTTCAAATGAATTTTCACACTCTGCTCTCTCATCTTTATCTCTGCGCACAATGACACTTAGTTGGTGATTCTTACACTCCCTGAAACCTTCCACAGCTGTAATAGCGGGAAGTCCAGGGCTGATGCGGCGGCTCTGAGGAGTGTTTCTGGGCGCTGCCTGGTCTATTCTGAGACTTCAAAAGGCATGATGTGTGGTCACTGTCTTAGTTAGGGTTCCTGCCGCACAGAACCCTGACAGAAAAGGAGAACCTTTAACTGGGGCTACCTGCATTTTGGAGGTTTCGCCTATTTTTGTTATGCTGGGAAGCATGGCTGCCCACAACACGGTTCGAGGAAAGGGCCCAGACTTTTTTGTCTGGATCGGCAGCAGGAAGAGAAGAGACTCTGGGCCTGGCTTGAGAACTTGAAGGCCCTCAGCCCACCCCCAGTGGCACGCTTCCTCCAACAAGGCCACACCTCCTAACAGTGCCACTCCCTAGGAGCCTGAGGTGCCGTTTTCAGTCAAACCACCACAGACACTGAACAAAAACACGAAGTAAAGATTTTTATGTGTTTCAATGTTTTAAGGTTAAAGTTATCGTGGATGACATTTTGGAGAGACTTCCAGAAGAGTTCAACATGGCAGAGATAATGCAGAAGAACCCAAACAGAAGCCCGTATGTTCTCGTTTGCTTTCAAGAGTGCGAGAGGATGAACTCTCTCACCCGAGAAATCCGCGCATCGCTTCAGCAGTTAGACCTAGGTTTGAAGGTAAGTGCACACGTGGGGAAGAGCCGGGGTGTCACCGCCCTGGTCTTCACGGTGGCCCTCCTCTCTGTGACAGGGAGAGCTGACCTTATCTCCGGACATGGAAGCGCAGCTGTTGGCCCTGAGCTATGACCGCGTCCCAGACACGTGGAACAAACTGGCTTATCCATCCACCTACGGCCTGGCCCAGTGGTAAGCAACCATCTCTACTGCCATCAGCAGGGGCTCCCCAATGTCCTGTGAGAACCCCTGCTACACGACCATCACCCCAAACTCTACTACTAATTTAACCCAAGTCCCTGTGCTCCAAAAGCAAGTCGGTTAGGCCAAGATTCAAATTCTCCCTTACTAGGTAACTGCTCTCTGACACAATACCTGAAATTCCGTCTACATTTTTTTTCATCTGAAAAAATGTAAACAAAATTTGCTCACTTGTTTAAGTTCCTAGAAGTGACTTGAGTTTGCCTGTTGGCCTTTTATTCCCTTTATTTTCCAAAGAATCATTGCTAGCGCACTCACAGATGACTTTGGACAGCCAGCGTCAGAAAGACATTGCAGAAGGATAGAGTTTAAGTCCAGCTGCTCTGAGGCCTTGGTAGACGAGTCAGAAAGCAACACAGGACCGTCTGTTCCTTTTCTGTTCCTGTTCTTGGACCTGTATTTTTTCCTCAAATGGTATCAATCTGAAAGGCGCCATTAGAACTCCAAATGACGGCACAGCTGGACCCTGCCTTTTGGTTTCTTTTCCTGCTGTGAGAGGAAGGTGGGTTGTTTCAGCTCACGGTTCCAGGCACAGTCCATCAGGCACAGGCGAGCCTTGAGATAGCCAGCAACAGCAACAGTCACTCAGCTCCATCACCATTTATCCAGTAGAGAGCCTGACTCAGAGCATGAGGTCATCCACATTCAGAGCAGGTTTTCCCACATCAATTAACCTAATAGAGATAACTGCTGAGCAGGCACTCCCCAAGGCTAAATAAACCCACAGGTGTGCCCACAGGCGTGTCTTCCTGTTATCCCAGACTCTGTTCACAGTTAGCAGCCTTACAGTCCCGTCCCCCCCCCCCCCCCCGCACTGGAGGCTGGCTGTGGGGGATGGGTGCTGCTGCCTCCTTGCTTTCTGAGATTAAGCACTGAACAAAGCAGCTCAGGAGGAAGAAGGAAGGGCTCGCTGCAGCGGGCGGTTTTGGGTAGCAGCCTGTCTCTGAGCAGCATTTCCTCTGCGCAGACTCGGAGGCAGGAACTGAAGGGAAAACACAGAGAGACCTTCTTACCAGCTTCCCCTCACTCACACACTCAGGCCCTCCCACTAGGGCTGACGGGTGTGTCCCACAGTGGGCACACCTACATTAAGCAGCAGTCACGACAGCGCCCGACAGGCGCGGCCACAGGCCAGCCTGACCAAGGCTGGTCTTCATGTTTCCCATCTCGCTGCTGACTCTAGATGGATCAGGTTGGGAACGGGGTGTGAGCACAGGGACCGAGCAGCCACGCGGCCTCCCAAGGACTGCAGAGAACCACCCAGGAGAGCGAGCACAACCTCCACGGCGGAAACACCAACTCTGCAAGAGCTGGTTATGCACGCCCAGAAATGGAGGATTTACAGTTAGCTTTCATGATTGATGGTGTCTCTTTGGGCTTTTTGCCACCATCTTACTTTATGCTGTCTAATTTGTGTAGTTTTTCCCAGGTTCTGTTTCTAACTTGCTGGTTTCGTAGTTTTCTCTGTTGTGCACTTACCAGAGAGGGCCCTTTCCATACTAAACACTACCTAAACCGACACTTCCAGAGAGCTCCAATTACACCTCCAAGCACGAGCTGCCTTATTTATCTTTTTGTTGTTTTATTGCTGTTTGCTCAGAAATGCTTTTCCTATCTTGTTCTGAAGTTTTTTTTTCTTTTTCACATAATGAGGGCTGGAAAGATGGCTCAGTGGTTAAGAGTACTGACTGCTCTTCCAGAGGACATGGGTTCAATTCCCAGCACCCACATGGCAGCTCACAACTGTAACTCCAGGATCCAGTACCCTCCGTACATGCAGGCAAAACATCAATGCCCATAAAACAAAAATCACACACACACACACTCTGAAGGCATCAGAGTCTTTGGAACTGGAGCTACAGACAGGGCTATGTGCTGTCATGTATGTGCTAGGAACTGAACCTAGGTCCTCTAAGAGAGCAGCCAGGTGCTTTCACTTCCTGAGCCGTCTCTTCAGGGTCCTCCCTCCACGCCCTCTGAACCTTAACGTTTCTTTTCACCCTAAGACCCATTAACACCGGCAGTTTTTTTCCTGCCAGGATGTAGCAGGGGCTGAATATTTTCATCAGAAGCCTTTACTGTCCTCTTGAAAGTCTGCGTGGGACAAACACTGTCTCCTCTCCTTGTGCCGTCTTTGTCTCTTTCCTAGATACTCTGGTACTGCAGTAGTGATAGGTACGCACAGACACACACCGCTGCATTCTGACTGCACCTACAGAACGGTGCTCTCCACCAACTCTTCAGAAGGCTCTGTATCCATCACCACGCATTTCCAGGAGGGTCTAAGTCACAGCTGTGCCATGGGTGCTGCCCTGTGGTCCAGGGTCTGCTCCTCCCAGTGGTACAGGAATGAGAGCCTCCGCAAGAAACCCGTCCTGCGCAGGGCCCCCCATCAGAGGCGGCTTTTTCCCTTCCTCACCCCACAGTCCCTGAGGCCAGCCGCACCCCCATCCTCCTGGAAGAGATCTGCTTTACTAAAGACCAAGTTTCTTTCTTCCTACCTCCCACTGCTCAGGTTTAGCGACCTCCTCTCACGCTGCCGGGAGCTGGAGACCTGGACTCAAGACCTCGCCCTCCCGGCTGTTGTGTGGCTTTCTGGCCTCTTCAACCCTCAGTCCTTCCTGACAGGTACGGCGGGTGAGCGAGGCGGCTGGGTGAGCAAGGAGGCCTCGCTCCTGGCAGAAGGCCTGCCTGGCTTTACCTTGGCGGCATCCTGCCCTTCTTCTCTGGTCTTCAAATAATCATTACAAATGAGGGGGAGCACCTGGAGAACATTCAGCTGGGAAGGAGCACGCCCCAGGGACAGCCGCAGAGGGGCCATGTCCTGGCGGAAGTCCGCCCTTCACACTGCCACACGGAAGGCACACAACACAGGGCAGTGGCTGCTCTGCTAGGTCCCAGTTTGTGACCGCAAGGACGAACTGGTCCTGCACGCCTGTTTGCCCAGCCTCACGCTAAGTGCAATGCCCCAGGGGACACCGTTCACCCTCGGGAGGCTGTAACTGGCTTCATCTTCTTTAACTCCTCTTCCTCCTAAAGCCATCATGCAAACCATGGCTCGGAAAAACAAGTGGCCACTGGATAGAATGTGCCTGACCGTTGATGTCACCAAGAAAACAAAGGAGGACTACGGCCACCCTCCCCGAGAGGGGGCATACCTCCACGGGCTGCACCTGGAAGGTGAGTCCCCGAGGACCACGTGCGGGACTGCGCGGGCTGCACGCTGGGCCCGGCCCTCAGCACCAGAATCTCCCCTGGGGTGATTCCTTCCCTCCCTTCACACTACACAGCCAGGTGTGAGTCTGAGCCACGTGGCCCTCAGGGCGACGCGGTCACTCCGACGGCACACGTACCATCAGCTGGCGTTAAAACCTCAGAAGCCTAGGCCCCGAGTGTAATCCAGGGTTCTGCCTTTCACTCCATCAACTCAAAGTCTGCCCTCTGGGTAAGGCTCTCACTGTGGAAGCCAAGGGGCAGCCTTCAGGACCTGCTCGTTCTTCCCGTCTTGATTCTGAGGCAATGTGCGCTCCACACTCAGGGCTGGCTGAGCCTCACGTCCCACACCAATGCATGTGTAGGCATGACACACGTTCCCCTCTGGCTTTCTACACGGCCAGCTAACTCAGGCTGCCGACCCTTTCAGCCCGAGCCCCTGCCTTCCGCTTCTAACCGCTCTCAGAAAGCTGCTCTGGTCCCACTTCTGGCTCTTCCCACCCCGACGGCGCCCCTGGTGCTGTGAGTCTGTGTGTGCGGGCAGCCTCTGTGGGGGGCGCTCACGCTGAAGCACACGCTGCCAGGTCACTCAAGGCTGCGTAGGGAACGGGCACCTGGACTTTTCCCAGCTCGTAAGCTCAGGGAGAGAGTGCTAGAACAGCGTTTCTTGCACTTCCCAGTTACTGTGACGGGTTTGAGTGTGTTTGAGATGTGACCTATAAAAGCTTAAACCACCGAACGTCTCAACCATACAAGGATGCCACGACGGGACGGTGTGGTGAGTGGAACATTTATTGCATGAACCGACTAGCGCACTGGTCCCGACAAGCCTGGTGACACAGCTGCTGTTTCCGCCACAGGCGCCAGATGGGACACCCAGGCCGGAGCCCTCGCCGACGCCCGCCTTAAGGAGCTCACGTCCACGATGCCAGTCATCTTTGCCAAAGCCGTACCCTCGGAGAGAGAGGACACGAAGCAGACCTACGAGTGCCCCGTTTACAAAACCAGGGCGAGAGGCGTCACCTACGTGTGGACTTTCCGGCTGAGGAGCAAGGAGAGGGCGGCGAAGTGGGTGCTGGCAGGCGTGGCTCTGCTGCTGGAAGCCTGAGCCCCGTGACTTACAGCGCCCGCGGCAGCCTGGCAGTGAGCGCTTAGTAACAGGGACGGACATGCTTTCCTTAGAGAATTTGTCTCTGGAGACACCAAACAACCAGAACCAACCAGACATTAAACGCCTATCCCGACACCCACATACAACGCTGTGGCTTATCTCTTACGTTTCCAAGACAGCGCAGTGGGGGTCCATAGAGAGGAACATCTCTAAAAATGTAAAAACACAGAAGCAGCAGGCTCCAGGCAGGTCCTGAAGGAGGCAGGCAGACAGAGGCCTCCAGCAGCCTTTGCCATAGAGGACCCTTCCTCCCAGCGTGTGGCTAATTGCACTTGGTAATTTACAGGAACATTCTTCAGTATAAACTTCTAAGGGCCAAGAATTCAGGATGGGAGCAGAATAAACTATCAGGCGTGGGCTGTGTCACTCGGGGGGGGGGGGGTCTGACCGGCCTCAGCTGCTGGACAAGGCATAGCTTCCCTGAGCCTGCACTCTGCCCGTTCACTGTGCTCTGACTTCTTCAGCAGGTGCCTGTAACAATACAGGCCTATCGGGTGTGGACACAGACTTCTCTGCTTCACCCTTTTCCTGAGAAATCTTTTCACGCATATAAACATTTTCTTTAAAAAAATAGTATTAAAAGCAGAAAATTCTAGAAAACGAGGGTCTGTGAAGTTGGGCCCAAAGGCTCGGCACAAATGGCAGACACGTCCTGCGGGATCCGGCCGGTAAGTGTGAGCGGTCCTGGTCCTCACTGTGGTCTACAGCTGCTTCTGTAGGCTGAACGACAGGCGGAGAAGTGTCTGTGACAGCTTGCCAGACACAGCGTGAGGCAGCACACGGGCCGAGACGACCCCAAACACCCCGGGGACACCCGATGCTCTGGTCAGGCCCTTCACAACCCGACAGTTTGCAAACATCACTGCCCCACGTCTCCGCTCTTCAGGCCGTGGAGGCCGGAGCGTGTGAGCGTGTGTGTGTTCTTTCTCAGGCAGGTCCACGTCACTGGTTTTACACCGCAAGTGGAACGCTGGTTTGGGCCCCTGTGAAGTTGAGGACTCTAAAGAGAGGAGTCTGGCCCGAGCCTCTCTGGTACCACTGAGGACAGAATGGACGGACCCCAGGGTGGTTTCTACAGTACGCTACAGAGAGAACACCGGCCGGGGGCCCCGCTCCCGCACGCGGCTGGAGACTCACCTCTCCAGGTACTCCTTCACGTTGCCGTAGCCGTAGAACTTGGCCAGGTGGATGAGGATGCCGGTGGCGCAGCGGCCATCTCGCTTCCGGCAGTAGCTGCAATTGCAGATCCCACGGCATGGAGGGCAGGTCCACTCCTAGGAGGGGGGAGAGCATTAGCGAAGTACTCTCCAGTCAGGGTGTCTGGGGACCCTGCCCACGCGTGTCCCTCCAGCCTCACAGGGAGCCAGCAGCACTGACCACCCACATCAGAGAGACGAGGCGACGCATCTGACCCAGACACACCCCTGAGCTCCGGGACTACAGGTCGCACACACATCAGTTATTACTTCAGGAGTCCAGGTTGGTACAAGACCAAGACAAGGATTCCAGCTCCCGACACATAACTGCCATGTTAAATCACTTAGCCAAAACGGTATGTCAGGAGTGGGGAGAGCGCACATCCACACCCATGACCTCTGCAGAGGGGCGCAGACGGTGACCGCCGAGCACACCCCAAGGGGGCAGCCCTCGGGGGCAAGACTTCCATGCCATGAAGGTCTCAAAGGGGCATTCCACAGGGATCTGAGGCAGAAACGGTCAAGTGCACACCTCAAAAGGTGTGCTGGTAGGGAAGGCCGGAGTCCGCCCAGAACACAAGGCAAATGTCCAGGTGTGATGGCGTGACCAGGCAGACAGGACCCCGGGGTGCACCAGAGAGTCTAGCTTAATGCCTGGGCCCTGAGCCAACGAGGGCCTCTATGGAAGAGTTCACATGGAGGCTGCCCGCTGGCCTCTCTATGCAGGTGTGCAGTTACAAAATGCGCTGGCGACAAACCGTGTTAGCGGGCATTAGGCCAAAGTAGGTGAAGTGACGTCACTGGCGGAGAAGAAAGAAACAGGATCCTACTGAGGCAAACCGCTAGACACACACATCCAGACACCGACACCCAGCTGTCACCATCCGGTCCCCCTCCAGGAGGGAGCCATGCTTCACTTCCCCACTGTCAGGAGGAGAAGCGAAGAGCCCCGAGGGGCCCAGGCCGGCGTGCCCACACCCAAGGTCCAGAGCAAACACACACTGCTCCTACCGGGTCCAGCAGCGCGGTCCGCACATCCTCGCCATAGCGGTTGCGCAGGCATGGCCCGCAGAATTGTCCGCGAACCCCGCCGCAGCTCTGGTTCCGGCACACCGTCTTCGTGTCGATGGTCTTCTGCCGGCACTGATGGCACGTGTTTCCCTAGGGAGAGGGAGCCAGATGGGAGCGGGCCTCACGATGTGGACACCCATGCAGAGGTTACCAGACACCCTAGGGAGAGCAAGCGAGCGAGGTGGGGGTGGCCTCACGTGTGGGCGCCCATCCAGAGGTTCCCACACACCCTAGGGAGAGCGAGGCAGGTAGAGGTGGGAGAGCGAGCGAGGTGGGGGTGGCCTCACGTGTGGGCGCCCATTCAGAGGTTCCCACACACATCCTCGAGGAGAGGCGCACGGCCTCAGCCCCAGAAGCTAGCGGGGTTGTGAGCAGGATCAACCCTGTGAGCACACCTCCACTCCGAGCACTCCCATTCTCGGCCCAGAGAAGTGCCGCGGGCACGAGGCTGCTCAAGGCCGCAGAGGGAACCAGCAATCGGGAACATACACGGACCCAAGAAAACCTCAAGAAGGGTCGGCAAAACCCCAGGGGGGACTAGGGCGGTGAGCCCCAGACAGCGTGACTCGCTCTCTCTCCTGCTGGTGGCCTGGATGCCCTCAGGGTGGAATCTCGCTCTGAAAGGTTGGCAATCCCACTGACAGTCACCATTTTAAGCGGAGTTAAACAAAGGAAAAGGATGCGGAGCACAAGGCCTAAGGAGAAAGTCGAAGCTAACACACAACACACACACTCTCTGGTCTTCCAGGACACGGCCCAGGAGGCCGCTCCCTGAGCAGGCCCCGTGCTCGGCGGCCTGTGCGGTCAGGCCCCTCCTGAGTGCTGGGCTCCGAGGGAGCACACCTTCGCCGCGCCGCCACTCACCAGCACCTTATCGTACACTTTATCGCGCACGGTTACGGCGATGTTTCCCAAGTCTTCCTCGGTGACGCTCTTCACTGAGCGGAAAGACGAGACTCGGGGGCGTCGGCTGTACTTCTGGCATTTCCCCTGGGGGTGAAAAACAGGAGAACCTGGCACAGGCATCCAGAACCAACAACCAGAACACCGCAAGGGTGCTTGGAGACGGGAGGCTGCCCATGTCTCTCGGCTGTGCGGCCGTCTGCTGGCCTGCACCCCCAGCCAAGCCCCCAGGAGGGCAACAGCAGTAAGTGACACAGGAAAACAGCCAGGAGCACCTGCAGGTGGCTCCCACCTTTCCCCTCTTCCCGGACAGCTACTCCTGACCCAGACAATCGGGAACAGCCACAAAGCCAGTGTGGCTGCTGCTGCTGCAGAGCTGGCTCACAGCCCGGCCCCCTGCACGCTGGGCAAGTGTGCACCCCGAGCCACCCCAGCGCCTCAGGTTAGACGAAGAGTGTCAGCGTGAAGCAGCTGAGCCCAGGGTCTTCTCAACACATGTCCCCACAGGACCATGGTGGAAACTGAGGCTCTCGGGCTGGAGGTTGGCGGACCGGAGCCTACAGGGCAGCCGGCCTGGTGTGGTGAAATGCTCGCAGCCCGGGGGCTTTTGCTCACTCGTCAATGCTCACCCCACTAATCGTCCTCCTCCTCCGGAAACTGCAGAGCTCTTCTGAGAGCCTGCTGGCCGACAAGGTGAAGTTCTCCAGGGCAAACTTCTCCGGGGGGCGTGCGCTCCGGGCTGGGTTCACGCGCCGCGTGATCTGGCCGTCGGAGAAGGCCCGCCGTGCCGGTCTCCTCCTCTAAAACCAAGGGCACAGACAGGCATGTGGCTTCCCTCCACCAGAAGGCACTGGTTCCTACAGAGCCGGGCCAGCCTGAGAGACCGGAGTCCCACTTACAGACGCTGACGGCGGGGTCTGCACAGGGAAGAAGTCCGGCACCGAGTTCAATTCCGCCAACAACTGCGCCAGCTAAGGTGCGGAAGAAAAGAGGAGCCAATGTCTGTCAGTCAGGGGGGCAGGTCTGCGATCACCAACTCCCACGAACCTCCCAGCTCCCTGACTGTGAACAGCCTCGTGTCAGAGTCCACTTCCTGAGTAAGAGGCCGACAGCACTGCTCCTGAGTCCACAGCGTGCCATTCCTCACGGGCACAAGGACAGAACACGGGAAGACGTGTTTGTCTTGCATGTTTGGGTCCCAGGTTCTACCACCATCAGTAGTGTGACCTGGCAGGTATCTTACAAACACGAAACTCCAACATCGGCGTGTCTAAAGAAGTTTGGCTAACGACTCTTAGAGTTTCCAAAGCAAACACAACACTTGCTGGGCCTTGGCGGGGCACACACCATAATCCCAGAGCCAGGATGTGGAGGCAAGAGGACCAGGAGCTGGTGACCAGGAGGCCCCGTGTCTCAAAAAGCCCTACCTCCATACACAAATCAGTCACTCTCCCCAAACAAAGCCGAGTGCCTAGCAACAGCCAGCACTGCCAAGCAGACACTCTGATCAGTGTTCCCTTTCAGATGCACGGAAACAGGACACAGGAAGAAGGACCGAGTGTAACACAGATACAGGCAGACAGAGGCGAACACTTCCTTTAGCCGGGCTCGCCCGTCTTTGACAAGATCCCCCTCGGTATACTGCTTCCTTAACTTAAGGCCTGTGTATACACTGGCCCTACACTGTGGTCTTTTAAAAGGAGGGATAAAACACAACTGGCAGAATTTCTTTTAATTCTGCCAGCGTAAAATTAAGAGGAAAAGAATGACTTTCAGTGATTAAGGTGAGCTGCTGGCCAATAGAAAAACCCCAAACACACGTAACAAAGCCACCCACGGCGCTCTGGGTGAGCTGCCCGGGCCATCACTAACTAGAACATGCAGACCTCTCTCCCTCAGATGTCGTCTCTGAGGAATGGCGCCCAGACACGGCCTGTCTGCTGGCCATGTCAGTTCTCCCTGCTGGGACGGTACAGCTGTGAGGCTCGCTCCTCTCCAGCGCTCTGCCAGCTCAGAACGTAGCACGCTGTACGGTGAGCAGCAGCAGCCTGCCTCCTCAGAGCAGCGAAAAATGGTCCTTGAGTCTTTTTGCTCACAAACCAGAGCCGAGCGTGGAACAGATGTGCCCCAGTACACTCCCCCCAGAGAGCAACACTGAAGAAGCTCCGGTCCCGGCCGCTGGCGGGGTCCCGGCCCGCGGCACTGGCTTACCATGGCCTTGTTCTCTTTGATATTCATGGCCCTCTTCAACAGAGCATCCGAATGCTCCCGGCTCTCGGCCTTGGAGTCATCCTCGGACTCAGAGGCCGAGTCTTCCTTTTCCTTGGCCTGTCTGAAGCCTTTCTCTCTTCCAAGATCAGGCTTCCTGTCCAGCACGTGGGAGCTATTTCTATCTGGTGTTTTTGCCATTTTTTTGGTGGGGAACTGAAAGGCTACTCGAAGACCAAAACTGCTTCTCGTGGGCCTGCCTCTTCTGGGTACTGCCTCCTCTTCATCATCTTCCTCCTCGTCACTCAGCACAGGGTAAGCTCTGTCACTGTCACTCAGCTCCAACTCCACACACTAAGGAACAAACAGACAGAAGGGTGAAGACGTCTCCAACCACCTACCAAAATAAACCCAACAACTGTGTTTGAAGCTATTCTGGCTGAGGACAGGTCAGACTTTGCTCTGCCACAAATTCCTGCCTCACCCGGTAGATGCAAAGCAACAACAAAACAAAACAAAGGAACAAAAAAACCTGATCTTGAAACCCTCAAACTGTGAGCCACCCAATGAACCCTGTCTCTTTGAAAGTTCATTCTCAGGCACCATGTTCCAGTGACGGAAAGCTGACTAACATTTTCTTCACTCAGTGTATTCTCTAATCAAGTTTGTGAGTGGCCTACACTGAATTATATATATATATATATATATATATATATATATATATATATATATATATATATGTACATGAATTAAGTATACACAGGCCACAGCTGATCTAAGTATACAGACTCTAAGGAAGAGGGGCTTTGGGAGCAATTTACTTTCCCTCCTTAGAAACAGAAACCCCCTAATTTGGAGAAGGAACCTGTCAAGTTCTGCAGCGCTAACTGTCTTGAGGCAAGAGTCTGAGGCCCCTGGGAAAGAACGCTGGCAGAGAGGGCTGTCCGGGCCTCCCCGCAGGGCAGTGCGGGGTTTCTCGCTGGCACACTCACAATGCAGCGAGGCAGCCAACTACAGGACTTGCCTGCCCTACGTGACACCTGGGGGAAGGAGCGGGCCAGAGAAAGCCACCATTTCTACTGACTGTCCCCCTACAGGCTGTGTCCCAGGCTGTGTAGGATCGGATATCCAACAGACAGGAGCTACATCACCTTACCAGCAGAGGAAGCGGTAGGTTTACCTTTCGATAAATATTCTATTCTTCAGTTAGTGGTAAGTACTTACGCTTTTAGAAACATCTGCTTCATCATATTTTTATGAATAAGTTAAAAATATAAACCTAAAAAATTATAAAGACTTAATCCCATGTGATAGCCAGGACTGGAGCCAAGGCAGAAAAAGCACACTAATGGGAACATGGGTAAAACCCTCCTAAAAGTGTAAATACACTAACACTAACTCTCGTTTTTACAAACATATCACAGTCATGTAAAGGAAGACAAGGTCAAAGCCTACAGCAGTTCTGCAGTCTAGCTTCCTAACTTTACAATTCGAAAACTACCCCAATAAAACATTTCTAACAGTCTGCTGTGGTGGCTCATGCTCCAGCTCCTGGAAGCTGATACAGAAGGAAAGCCACCATGTTTAGGTCCAACCTGGGCTATGGTGTGAGATTTTACTGCAAACATCACCACCACCACACCACCAAGGCAGTGACCACCTGAGACTGAAATGCTAGTGTGTGAAAACTAATTAACCTCAATAAATGAAATAAAAAAAAATCCTCAAGGAAGCCTTTTCCCAGTGCAGGACCGAGGGGAAACTCCCCAGGCCCCTGGCAGACCTGAGTCACCTTTACAGTTAGCAAAACTCAAACCAGGAGGCACATGCTTCCCAGTTTGCTCCATTACCCGCTTTCACCAAATTAGCCCCTAGCCTAGGAATGTGACTTCACACTCAACAAGACACAACTTGATAGAACGCTGCTACTGCAAGATATATGGAACAGACAAAAGAAGCTGAACAGGAAGCTGCTATAAACCGGTAAGTCGATGAAGACACCTGAGACAGGCCCTGAGCACCGGGCAGGAGATGGCCCGTCAGGCGTCAAGGAGAGGCGTGTGCCCGTGGGCCAGGCAGGACCAGCTCCACAGAGGGCCTTCTGTATTATTTGGCTTCTATTACAAAACAAAACAGAAGACAACAACAGCAAAACAAACCATCTCTCCATTTGTCAAGTAGCCTCTCAGGAGGAAAAGGACAGTCAGGACCAGGAAAATGCAGCTGCACCCTCCTTCACATGGGCCTTCACTGCTGTTACCTCTGAGTTACTGCTGAGCTTCAGCTCGCTCTCTGTAAATCCTTCGAAGTCTTCTGCTTCTGAATCCGTATCCTCAATGAAAATCCTCCTGAGCTCTTTTGTGAAGTATTTGGAACGGAAATGCACATTCTGCTAAATTGAAAAATACACCTTAAAGCGACTCAGAATCCCAGTGCTCTGGGAGGAGGGAGGTAAAGGCTGAGGCAGGATTCCCACCCTGGACAGGGCAGAGCAAAACCCTGTCAAAAAACAAGCTACCACAACTGGGCACAGTGGCACACTCCTTTAATCCCAGCACACAGAGGCAGAGGCAGAGGCAGGCGGAGCTCTCTCTGAGTTTGAGGCCAGCCTGGTCTACAGAGTTAGCTCTAGGACAGCCAGGGCTACACAGAGAAGCCCTGTTAGGGGGTGGGGGGCACGCAACTCCTAGTACCACAACACACTCAGGAATAGAAAGGAAAGGAAGAGTGGTTCCGGGGGTGGCGAGGAGAGCGGAGATCACTAACGGGCAAGGCTTTCCACTGAATGAGAATGTTCTGCACAATAACGCAGACAGCACATGGTCTCCAAACCTTACAGCAGTGAAGACTACAGCCAAGACAGTCTCTGTCAATCCTGTGTCTCAATTTCGTCTGCTATGGCTGCTGAGCACTGATGGTGAGTCTCCTGCCCCGGCCAGCAACAACCAGGCTGCCGGCTTTCCTCCCTCCAGCTCTCTGGAGCGCTGGCCGTGGGTGAGCGTGCATTTCTTCAGACACTGTAGGTTTCTCTATAGGAAGAGCCAAGGCCCTCATACCCTCACCCAGCGCTGGAGACTGGATTTGCTCCATTCCCAATGATACCCACACGGGGAACGGATGGAAGTCTGTGCCCGCCTAACCCCGGAGTTCCCCTCTGCAAGACTGAGGGACAAGCAAAGATGTTCTCCAACAACTTATTTTCTTTGGCACTATTACAAAGACAGAAGGAAGCATAACTCTAAGAGTGTCTGAAAGAAAAGGAGGGAGGAAGAGTGCCCGGCTCAAAGGAGATCCCACAGAGAACTGCAAGATTAAAAACTGCTCCAGGACCCTGTCCCTGTCCCCAGACCCACAGGAGTGGGCCTCATGACACCACATTAGTGTGAGACTGTCTCACGCTGCCTTTTTCTGGCTTTAATTATACACTTCTTCAGACTCCGAGATCATCGGGAAAAACGAATGCAATAGAAATATGTAATAGTGGGAGACTTAGAGGGCGGTGGAGAAAGAGATGCCCACAGCTAGTGCTCTAAGCTTAGGAATGTCGCCTGTGAATTATTATGGGTAACTGGAATGAGTTTTCTCAGAGCATAAATTACTTCCTTCCTTTGTTGTTAGCTGTGGTGCAGCTGCAAAAGAAAAAAAAAGACAAAAGGGAAGTTTATTTAAAGACAAACTCAAACTGTGTTTAAGGGAAGGGGCCAGAGTCAGCTACGCAAGCTGATGCCACGTCTCTCAGCCGGAGAAAATGAGTCACAAGTGTGTGGGTCAGAGGAGCATTAGAGCAGGGCTTAAACCTAACGAAGCGTGGGCCTCGAGAGAGAGATGGCTTGGTGGTTCAGAGCGCCTGCTGTTTCCACAGAGGGTGCAGGTTTGGTTCCCAGCACCCACACGGCAGCTTAGAACCACCTCCAACTCCAGTTTCAAGGGCTCACACACCCCATGCAAGCGGTGCACAGATACACAGGCAGGCAAACACGCAAACTAGAAAGGATCTAAGGAAAAAACAGGTGCAGCAAGGCTGTCTGCAAAGGAAACCCACCAGGCACCCGACTACAGGAAACATCTGGCCAGCCCCTGGGGGCTTTTCTGGGGCAATGGCCTCCAAGCATAAATTCAACAAATGTCCAAAAACCCTGTACAGAGCCTGAAAGAAAATGAGTCACACCTTAGAGTACCAAGTTCCAGCCTCCCAACCTTCCTGGTGATTTTTATCTTAGGAGACAGTGATTGGCCCTGAGAGAATTACAGGACTTTGCTACAACGGCTTAAGAGCCGTTTTCTGTGCGGTCTGCACTGCACAGCCCCGATGGTCAAAGGTCCACCCCGCTCTCGGCAGCACCAAGTAACCAGGATCTCCTATGGCTAACACTGTAAGCGAGAGAAAATACATGGAAAGCAAGTAAGTGTTCTATTCTGACGCTCACATGACATGACAAAGGACTGGGGAGCTGCCCCTCAGTTCGCTGGCACAGCTCCACTCTCCCTCTCTACCTGTGGACACTGAAGGTGTCTGAATCACGGCGGAGCCTAGCCTGAGCTCAGTCCTTCTCCTGACCCCTGCAAGAAGACAGGAGCTGGGTCAAGGGCTGAGTGCTAGGGCAGCTTCAGATAGCACAGATATGAAGGGAGGAGTGTAAGGGCCAACTCTTAGGCACTAGACATGGAGACAGGAGAGAAGCCAACAGTAAGACAGCCGGAAAAACGGAGACCTGGGCGGCCAGGAGAGGGAATATGGTGAGTTTCAGCTTCCCTGAGACAGGAGGGAGAAGCCGGGCTGCAGATCAAGAAAGTCCAACTATCTCAGAGAAAACGCAGGTCACTGATGGCCTTCACCTGGGGAAAGCAACCATACCTAAGACAGAATCCAAGAGAAACTAGCCAAAAGGTACAGGGCCATGCTAGACAACAGCCGCATCTCTTTGTATTGAGAACCAGTTTAGTGTGACTGATTCCTTGAGCTGTGGAAATAAAAACAAGACCAAACAGAGCCGCAAGGCGCGGCCTGCGTGAAAACACAAATGGAGACTGGGACCGCAGGGGAAAGTACATTCAGGGAGGTGGCAGCACCTGGCTTTAATCCTGCACCCCACAGGTAGAAGCAAGTGGGATCTGAGCCAGCCTAGTCTACACAGAGTTCCTAGCCAGCCAAAATGACTTAGTGAGACCCTGTCTCAGAATATGGGGGAAGGCGACAGGACTGCAAGGCTAAACTGGTCCTGACAAAAAGTTTAAGGAGTAAGGGTTCTGCCGGGGTGGGGGCACGCCTTAATCCCAGCACTTGGGAGGCAGAGGCAGGTGGAGCTCTGTGAGTTCAAGACCAGCCTGGTCTACAAAGCCAGTTCTCAGATAGCCAAGGCTACACAGAGAAACCTTGAAACACAAACAAAGAATAAGGGTTCTGCAGTGACTCAGTCTGCTACTGTGATGTCAATCTCTATGGAGGGGATTAACAAACGTAAAAATAATTTTAAAATGGTACCTGTTGTAATTGATTTGACTTGATAAGATCACAAAGAGCACAGAGTTCTAGGAACAAATTTTTCCATTTAGGGACACAAAAAAACAAAACAACCCAACTCTAACAGAGCAGGCCAAGGTGGCTACTGGGTCAAAATGCTGACAGAAAAGAGTCCAGCAAGGCCTATATTAGACCAAGGACCCCAAAAGCCCAGGTCCCACCAAAACCTGATCATAGGCAGCTCCCATGTAACAGGGCGGGGTCCCTCAGCATGCATGCTCACAGGCCTCTCACCTGTTTCTGGAAACGTGAAGGTGAACTTCCGAAACACGGTACCCAGCTCAGGGCTGCCCTGTGATGCAGGACACGCCCTTCGGCCGGCTTTCGAGGGCCACACTCAGGCAGAGCAGGCTTCTGAGGGCCACACCTGCCCGGAGAAGGAAAGCTCGTACCTGTTTCTCCAGCTGCAGAGAATCCAGACTATCGCAGCTCTCAGACAGGTTTTCCATGGGAGCATCGTCCTGGAAACCCACAAACTCCTCCTCGTCACTGGGGGCGTTGAAGATGGCAGCCATCTCTTGGGGGATCTGTTTTGGATTCAGAAGAGAGGGGTGTGACCGGGGCTGCTGTGATCTCTCAGGACAGAAGGAGCATCACATCCTTTCCCAGAGGCCATGAGACCCCAAGACTCGTGAGTGTCGTGCTCAGTGTGGACGCTGGTGGGAGAAAGGGGGCACGTTTGCTCCAGCTCCAGGTTCACAGGCACTGTACCTTCCAGGGAACGTGTAGCCATCCTTACACAGCTGCTGTCCTTGAGCTTGACTGAAAAGCACCCGTGTCTGAGAAGTGTACCAGTTCTTCCTCCTGGTGGCAGCTCGCCACCCAGGTTCCAGTCAGGAGGGCTTGACGCCACTATCACCTCCTGCTCTGTTTTTGCTCGTCTTCTGTGGGTTATAGACAGACGTTTGCACGCCCAGAGTGGCTCTTTCTCTGCACTCGAAGTCAGTTAAGGCAGCTGGGGAACTGATTCCAAGAGGGCTCGGGTGCCACTGGGGACAGGGACCCCATGATCCGTGTCAATCCAATCCAGCAAAGGCGCGGTAGGACACACAGAGCCTCCCTCCCAGCTTTCTCCCACCTACGTACTAAAAAACAAAGCACAGTAGCACCCAGCAGTCATGTGAAGCCGCCGTTTGCATCTCTGTTCTGTTTGTCAAGAAAAATCAGGTGAAATTGTGCTGCAGCTTGACTGTGTCCGTCCTTGACCCAACCTGTATGCACCCACCGTGTCAGAGAGGAGCAGGAGACAACACAACTTGACATGTCACAGTGAGAACAGTAAGCCGGGAGGATCAACACCTTCATTCACTCCTTTGACTCCCTAGATAGTTTATCATTTAAAGCCGCATACATGCAACAGGACATGAAAAGAGAAGCCAAACTGTACAATGAGAGCCACAGGGCAGAGGAGGGGACCTCAGGCTCCTGAAGCACAACCGCCCCGTCTGTCCAGACACCTTCTAGGCCTCAGGCACCCAAGCCGCACAGGCAATGCTTGCACAAGGCCCCACACCTCCACGAGTGAGGTGTAGCAGCGAGAGCGCAGCACGCCCACCTCAGCCTCCCCTTCCCTCCATCTCTCCCAGAGGTTGCTTTAAGAAGCGATTACCAGAGGAGTGCACGCAGGTGGATTTCAAAGGATGACACAGCTAAGACCGCATGGGGTAGAGGTAGTGTGTCCACCGGCCCCCTGCACCCACAGCTTGCCAGCTCTGGGCGTGCCTCAGTGCGTGACACTGCTGACTGGGAGTAAGGCAGGGACAGGTAGCACACCCCGAAGCGTGTGTGGGGCTCCGCACGCCGGGTGGGAGGGGCTTGTCGCACAGCCTGGACGGGTATGCAGGGCTCGCTCTTGCTGCCAAACTCTGACCGGTACAGAAAGCAGCTCCACAGCTCTGGCCTCTCGGCCACAGTCAAATAGAGCCCCGCAGTCTGGGTCTGACCTCAGAAGTTGCTAAACTCCAGCTCCCTACTAAAGGCAAAGCCTGTCAGAACAGCAGCAGCCCCCCAAATCAGGACAGCATGGACTACTGCAGTCCCCAAAGTACCTGCCAACCAAGAGTTCCAACCTGCCACCCAAGTTATCCTTTAAAACGGACCGTGAAACAAAGACACACCAAGGCAAGAGTAAATCAAGGCATCTGTGACCAAAATAGCACTGTTAGATGCTTACACAGATTTCAGAAACACAGCAAGGCACTGTCCATCGTGAGAACACAGAGGGATAAGCAAATTTAATGAGAACAGATGAGCAAAGGAGAGCTAAGAAGGAAATCATTACACCCACCACAGTAAACCAGGGAGCCCCGAAATACTAACAGGAGGATGGGGGGGACCATAATCCAAGCAAGGAGAAAGACAACTGCAACACTTCGGGAATCAGCAAACTTAAAACCGTCAACATAAAGAGGCTGAAACGACAGCACGGAAGCTGACAAATAAAAAACCAAGATCCAAGTATCTCCAAGAAACACAAATCATTGGACACACACACACAAACACAAATACTTCATATACACACAAACACACACACCGTGCGCACATGCACACACGCGAGACTCAAATGATGGAAGACTTATTTGTTAAATGGAAGAAAGCTGAAAGTGATGTAACTACTACTGTCTGATAAAGCAGACTTCAAACCACAATGAGAGAAGATAAAGCAAGCCACCACACATTCAAGCTGGCTAGACAACGCGTCAAGATGTAACAACCGTAAAGGTGTGAGCCCCGCACCCGGGCTCTCAGTTTCAGATAACGTGGATGGACAGAAGAGGCCAGACGGGCTCTGACTCGCTGAGTGCCTTCCACAAGCCCCGTCACAGACAGCTTATCCAATCTGAGCATCAAGAAAGGGAGCCGCAGCTGAACTGCAACCGGAGAGCAGACGGTCTCACAGGTATCTCTGGACCATCCCCACCGGCAGACCCAGAGCAGACCCTGTCCCGGCAGCCCACCACAGAACCTAACAGCGCATCCTAGGCCACGGAGCCAACACTGTCAAACTCAAACATCGGAAATATGTCATGTTGAAAGGGTTAGGCTAACTTTGTAACTTATATGTCTTCTAAAGCCTATAGTTTTGAGTTTTAGGTCCAGGTTAAGCTAAAGTCTCTTAGTACCTTTCCAGAGAATGAAGGAATGTGACCCTATCTGTGAGGACAGATAGAAAAAAGCAAGCAAGCAATGACCTTCACTCAGCAAAAAGGACCAGACCCTTGTCTTTGAGATAGCGTTTCTTAGCAACGAACCTAGACTTCTTCTGAGAAGCTCCTGACCTCCAGCCAAAAGTCCGCAGCCCCTAATCTTCAAGGATGAGCTAACCACCCCCACCTTCAATTGCAGCTGCATCCACACTTGGCAGGACTGGCCAAGCTTGAGCACCTAAGACTAACCAATTATCTTACTTTATAGCTTCCTCATCCAATCCTAAATTGCCAAGACTGCAACTTCAAATCTCCCACAATTTTTCTTTTAAAAACCTAAAGGCCTTTGTCTCCCGGTGCCACTCTTTGCTGACCGGCAGGGGTGACCCCATTGCGCAATGGTTAATAAACCTCTTGCTTTTGCAACGAGTCTTGGTCTGGGGGAGTTTCTGGGAAGGGCGCGATCTTGAACTCCTGAGCTGTGAGACCCCAGGTCTTACAGTGTACAGACTAAAATAAAACAAAATAATATGTAGACGCAATAGAGCTGGTTCTTTGAAAGGTGCTTTAAACAGGATTGGTAAAGCTTGTCTTGACTGCCAGCAACAAACGATCTACAATAAGATCAAAGATGAAAAGGAGAAATTACAAGACATTCCAATGAAATTCAGGAGATCATTAGAAATACCTTTAAAACATGTTCTAAAAAGCAGGAAATTTGGGAGAAATAGATAAATTCCCAGCTACATGACCGACCATCAAGAGAATACAGAACATTTAGACACTCCCTTGCCAAGCAATGAAAATACGGCAGAAAGACCTCCAAGAAAAGCCCAGATCGAGTCTCTGCTGGTCCTGCTGAATTGTTACAGATAACACCAACGCTCACATTTCCACACACAGAAGGAGAAGGAACAGGACCAACTCCGGAAGCCAACAGCATCTTGATACCAAAACCAGGTAAGAACAGAACAAACAGACCAACACCCTGCAGGAACAAAGACACAATTCTCAATACGGTATGTGCAAAGCAGACCAAGGAGCTGTGCGACAGGCACTCGCAGGGCAGAGGTAAAGCTACTGGCATTCATTCTTCACCAGAGGACACAGCATCACGCTGCCTTCTAAGTCCTCACCAGAGACCTGCTCGCAGTGGGTGGTAATTCAGAGACAAAGCAGCTGGCCCACGTGCTGCGCCAGCGGTTCTCACCCCGTGATCACAACCCCTGCAGGGGCTGCACGTCAGCTCTCCTGCCCACCAGCTGCAAAACTGCAGTTCTGAGGCAGCAGTGAAGTAGCTTTATGGTTGGGGGTCACAACATGAGGAGCTGTACTAAGAGCGCAAGCTATTTGTAGTAAACCAGGCCAGCATGGCCCAGGCCAGTGCTGCCGGCACGTCAGAGGCATGTGGGAAAGGTGGGTACAGGTCCAGGCACACACGGCAGCCTTCAGGGGCTGCACAGCCATCCTTGGGCCCCAGGACCCAGGTTCCAATCCACACCTGAGAGACCAGGAAGCCCAGCTTTGCTGGATCCTACCCACGGGGCACCGGGGCACCATCAGTAAAAGCCTGCTGGGGTTCTGCTTCTCACCAGGGGCACCATCCCAACATCCCTACAAAAAGGGATGCTTCAGAGACGTGGTTCTCAAAGTGTGGGCCAAATGACCCCCTTACAGGTGTCTCCTAAGACCATCAGACTCCTGACCTGCAGCAGCAGCCTGTCCACAGCTACAAAGCAGCAACAGAAGCAATGACAGTAACTTTCTGGCTGGGGCTCACACACAAGAGGAACTGGATTACAGGCTGCAAAGTTAGGAAGGCCGGGACCACTGCCCTAGATCCGTCCATACCACACGGGCTCCTGCCAGCCCAAGACTTAACTGAAATTTCATTCACAAGCAGAAACCAACAAGCTATAACGATGCCTCAAAGTGCCAGCCGGCCTAGTCAGGTGTTTACTTCTGAAAATAAGTCATGTAAAGCAGCACTCAACTTCCGTATCAGACAAATAAGTGTAACTTTAACTATAGGTTAGTTCTACGTCTCGGGTACCACCGCACCATGGGGAACATACTCATCATCTATTACATTTCTTTTTTTAATAATGTGCTGGGGCAGGGGGGAAACTCATGTAGCCCAGGCTAGCCTTGACTTCCTGCCTGCACCTCTCCAGTGCTGGGACTGCACGAACCCCACCAGCTATGTGGCTCTGAGGAGTAAACCCTGAGCTGTCCAGAGGAGCAATTACTCACAGAGCAGGCTCCTGGCTCATCCTTATTAAAGGAAAATGGCACAGTAGCTATGAACATGTCTCTTAACTACCCTCTGCCTCTGCCTCCCAAGCTCTGGTGCTACAGGTATGTGCCACCACACACGGCCT